TAAGAATGGGAATGGCGGATTTTTTCGGCCAAAAATCTGAATATATACATTGAATAATATGAGTAGAATATATTTAATAGTCAAATAACTCAGTTTGTCTCTTCACAAGTCTAGCACACAATTCAACAATTTGATTCAATTCGTGTCTTGGATGTCTCCTCAAAGTTCTGACAACCTTAAATGTTTTAAAAGTCTGATGGCGTGCTCGACATAAACATGACACTCTGAAATTCTTCTATTTAGTTTGTTGCTCTTTTTGTCCCCCCTTCTCGGTGTTTTCTTAATTGTTGTCTCCTATATGGCATAACAATAGGTGGACGGGTTCTCGAAAACTTGTTAGCTTCCGGGGGCTTCGCCCCTCGAACCCATATCAGAAGGTCCACTGTCCTGGACCCGCTGGGGGCCTTCAGACCCTTCGCCGAGGTCCAGACGTACACTTAAAAATGACCAAGATGCTACTGGGAATCCGTGATACCAAGAAAAAAACTTCCGACCCTTCACCGAAACGTAAATTTAACATGCTTGAATAGTGCCCAAATGTGGTAATCTTTTAAATTTTCATTCGAAAACCTCTTCTGTCCGAATAACAAACTGACGAAAGTTGATAGAAAGAAAATGTCAGGGAAAATTTGAATAAGAATAAATAATTCACACATTTTAACAGGTTTTTTTTAGGTATTGTCCCTTTTCTGCATTAAATTAAAGTGACATTTCTAGACAAAAATAAAAAATAAAGATAATCAAATTGAATACGCTTTTGTTTCATTCTTTCATTGTCAAGTACACAAATCTCCAGTTCTTTTATTAGAATGTAAAGCTACACATTTCTCTATTCTAGAAACATGATATAAAATAAGGGAAGTGGTACAATGTATGATTGCCAAAGTAGACATATATCCCCCAGAGACCAAATGACGTAAATGTTGGCATATATAGGTCACCGTATGGCCCTCAACAAGGAGCAAAACCCATCCCGCATAAAAGCTATGAAAGGCCCCGACCTGAAAAGTATATTTTAAATAAATTTCAAATAAACTAACATAATGAACAAAGAATGATGTAGAGTAAGAAAAACGGATTCGGATGTGATTTTATTGCATTTTTTTTATTCATTTTTTTTTAATCACTTTGCGGATTTTCCTTGCAGTCGTTCAACAAAATAGTAAGAAAAGGGGGGGAGGGGCAACGATCTTAAACTTAATCGATCACTTCTATGAAACAATGCATTTTTATAATATTAATATTAATAATGATCGTGTTGATTTGCTGTATCCTTGTCGGTATATTGCGGAATAAATTGTTAATATTCTATTATTTAAAAATCATCTCAGCATTATCAAACAAACCCATACAGGTAACTATAATGACTAATTATCTGTGCTTTTTGAGATGGTCCCCACTATAGCTTATAGTAGTATTGGTATTTAACATCAGCGCCAAAATCGTATTGACTTTCCTAACACGTCTAATTAGACACGCCACCTTAGAATTAGGGTGTTCAAAACAGGATCGAAAAAACGCAAGCAAAATACTATCGTTTACAGTTTCAAAGAATAAAAGTGCATTTGGTTGAATCAGATCATCTCCAGTTAAAAAAAACCAGACGGTATTAGAGGGACCGGAAACTCAAACCTGTTCAAAACATGAAAAATGGCTGTAATGAAAAACAGATATTCACAATAAGTACACATCTTATTTACCTATATAGATGGCCGGCATTTGTCTAACATGTAGAGAAAAAGGGAGGGGTACATAGCTTACCTTACGATATAGCTCTTGAAAGGCATTTGCATGCCTCTTTCCAACGTACCATCTTATTCAAGACTTTCAACGTTTGTTTTCGGTCGACCCACTTTGCATCTCGTTTTAAATATACATAATGTCAATAAACGGATTCCAAAACGTTACAAATTAGATCTTTGAATAATGTTTTATTGGTTAAAATCTTGATTTTGTTATCAGAAAACTAAAACTAAACTAAATATTATTGTTATATACATATGAACTTTCACGGTTCTACAATCTGTCGATACTTTAATCTTGGCATTGCACAAGGTCATGTTTTTTCTCTGACTGTTAATGACGTTTTTACTCTAAATCCATTGGATGTTGGATGTGTACTGATTGATATTCTAGTCTTAGATACTTGATTTTTTATTAGATTACTTGGCTTTGAACTAGCTGTAGGTAACTGCACGTACTCTCAGACCTGTACTTCGCGTCTTTTTTGTTTTGGGGATGGATAAATTCCCTGCCACGTCCGATCTGTTTTTGTTAGTTGTTTTTCTACTTTGTATAGATCTGATGAGGTTAGCCCTTTTCAACTGAGTTTTGTAGTTTGTTCTTATGATGTACTTGTACACCAATGCCACAGGTTAGAGGGAGGGTTTTGCGTCAGCAAACAAGTTGAACCCCGCCACATTCTGTATGTAAAATTGAGAATGGAAATGGGGAATGTGTCAAAGAGACAACAACCCGACCATAGAACAGACAACAGCAGAAGGTCACCAACAGGTCTTCATTGCAGCGAGAAATTCCCGCACCCGGAGGCGTCCTTCAGCTGGCCCCTAAACAAATATATATACTAGTTCAGTGATAATGAACGCCATACTAAACTCCAAATTGTACACAAGAAACTAAAATTAAAAATAATACAAGACTGACAAAGGCTAGAGGCTCCTGACTTGGGACAGGCGCAAAAATGCGGCGGGGTTAAACATGTTTATGAGATCTCAACCCTCCCCCTATACCTCTAGCCAATGTAGAAAAGTAAACGCATAACAATACGCACATTAAAATTCAGTTCAAGAGAAGTCCGAGTCTGATGTCAGAAGATGTAACCAAAGAAAATAAACAAAATGACCTACCCAAGTCAGGAGCCTGTAATTCAGTAGTTGTCATTTGTTGCTGTATATCATATTTGTTTTTTGTCATTATTTTGTACACAAATCAGACTGTCAGTTTTCTCGTTTGAATTGTTTAATATTAGTCATTTCGGGCCTTCTATATTTGATTATGCGGTATGGGGTTTGCTCATTGTTGAAGGCCGTACGGTGACCTATAGTTGTAAACTTCCATGCCATTTGGTCTCGGGTGGAAATTTCTCTCATTGACAAGTATACCACATCTTCTTATTTTTATATGACATATTTGTGGATGGACTTTTGGTCAGCGATCAATTGTCATTCAGCTTTATTTAGAGACCTTTACAGTTTTTACTCCGTAGGTGGTTTATTGACTCAACAAGATTTCTCTTTTTAGATATTTGATTTTTTAAGCAAGAGTTTGAGTAGAGTTGACAAGTTTGAAGTTGCTTTTTTCATTTTTATATGGAAAAGTAAAAAGATTTCTATGAATTAAAATCAAAACGATCGATTTGGTTTAATTTGAAATTAAATTTTGCTTTTATAGTTGCAAATTTTTAATTGTTTAAACTCTAAAATACAAATTTGGAAGGGTTAAATAGCGTCCAGCGACAGAAAGTGGGACTGATTATTACAAGTGTTCTTGTTGTGGTGATTATACCGGTATTTGCTGTTTCAAGATTATCTTTATCTGTTAAAGTGTAATAAAGGCATTAACGAATAAAAATTTCCTTACAGGACAATATTTTTTACAAGGAATAAATTGATGATAACGTTCGTTTTACTAATTTGTAGATTTTGTCTCGTTGATTGTTTTTGTTGTTTGAAGTTCTATTTGTATCTACACTTGTGTCAGCCGAAAACGCAAAAAGGTAAACATCGTCATTGAAGGCGACTGACAATTTCAGCCTTGTGACTCATTTGTAGATTTATCTACTAAAAGGAGTCGGATTCACATCCACATTGAAACAGACCCATTTCCAGAAATTTGGTCCCCCATTGCATTATTTTATAGTCGAGCTTATCCAAAAGTGCTGATGATACCAAATTTCATGAAAAGAAAAACAAAACAAATGTTAAACAAATGTACAAACGAATCAGCAAAATGCTATCGAAACGAATAGAGATTGCTGAAAACTTTGCGAAAAAATTCTCATTCACACGAGGTCATTACACAATCTAATAATAAACGTCCAGTGGCATATGTAATATTCCTTAACAATTTCTCCTGCAAACCAAATATTATTTTCTTTCTAAAAAGGCATTTTGAAAGTATTTTTTTTTAATTATAGTTCATAGGAGCTTTTTCTCAATATAAACAGTTTTAGAAATTAAGAAATAAAAATATTCCATTAAAATGATTTTTGCTAACGCTCAATGTAAAATATCGACAAATATAATGCCTACCCATATTAAAATGAGCAAAGAACATGACATGAAGTTATTATTTCATAAGTATAGTATACAGTATTTTATTAATTTGTTTTGAGTTTCTCTAGCAAAGACAATTCACTTATAAAGCTTCCCATTTGTTCCGCTCAAACCGGTGCAAGTGCCGTCTTAGACTTGCAGTAAGGTGAGGGGTTTTTTTTTGCTCCGTGTTGAAGGCCACACTGTGACTTTGAGATGAAAAACAGCAATTAAAGCACTGTTCCTTTGCTTTTTGTGTGTTTTTTTGCTGTGTATGTACTGATTTTGTGGCATGGATGGATACCCCATACCCTTTGATTTTTTTTATTAGAACTGGGCTTGAACGATTTCTATTTAAATGCCATATTCTTTTTTATTGGACAAGTTTAATACCAACATCAACTCAAATAGGAGACAACTATCATATACAGGTTTTTTATGTGACGAGCATCACTTTAGATCGTGACATTTATTGTCGAAATGCGCATCTGGGGCAGAATAATTGGTACTGTTTAATTCGCCTTTCAGAATCGAAAGCATTCTGGGTAATAATTTCAAAAACGTACACCGAAATGCTGTGATTGGCTAACAACGTCCCAAACAATTGTAATTCAACCAATGACGTGACGTTTTCATCATTTTGATTGAGTACGAACAATGAAATTACCAACAATGCATTAGATTCTGAAACGGCGAATTTTGTTAAATAATGACTTTCAACTGTAGGTTTGTGGGCAGTAGTTAATAATGCAGGAATAGGCATTGGAGGAGACATAGAACTGTGCAATCTACATCAGTTCAGAAATATAATGGAAATCAATTTGTTGGGACATATGACTATTATCAAAGCATGTCTACCATTATTACGACGATGTAAAGGTAAATATATAGGAGGATCTGGATTGGGATGTTCTTCATATCTGCATTCTTATTTTTTTTTTCATTTTTCTTTAGTCTTTTTATTTTTGGCCCACTATTCTCTATTCTTTATATTTGAGTACCCCATTATTCTCTAATCTTTATGTTTTGCTCTATTGTTCTCTAATTTTTTTATTTTATGGTCCCTTTTTCTGTAGATTTTGCACTTTACTCTATAATCTGTAAACGCCATCCAGATCCTCATATAGAATTCCCCTGAATAAGGATTTATGTATGAGATAACATGCATGAACAAATTGCTGTCAGTTTATTTATTAGTGGTAATTCAAAGTTAATGCCAGAACTAACCATGTCTGTAAAAGCAGAAGTTATTTCATATAGAGAGCACCGTTGTCTTGTTTTAAAGATAATGTATTCCTGTGTTTCAAATTCAAAATGAGAATAGTAGTTGTTATTGGCTTTGAACTAGCTGTCAGTCACTGCCAGTACTCTCAAATCAAAGACTTTAAAATTGGTATTTGCTGCTTCTACGCTAAGCACGCAGCACTAAGGAGTAACAGCAAAGACTGGTCGGCTCGGAGTCAGAATAATGTGTCCGGGTAAGGTTACATGTCTTCCTGCGAACTGTTACCTTGTGAACTAGGTTAAAACTCCGGCTCACAGCGTGTCGGTCTAGTACAAAGCAGGGTGAATATTCATATTACATTATGATGTTCTCGTCCTGAATATGCATATTAATTTGCCGCTGGACGTTAAGCAGTCATCCATCATCATCATCATCATCCATCATTCATCATTCATCATTCATCATTCATCATTCTCCTCGTCGTCGTCGTCGTCGTCGTCGTCATCGTCATCGTCATCGTCATCATCATCATCATCATCAACATCATCATCATCATCTTTGTTTTTCGTTCATTGTTTTATACATAATCGTACATGAATTGTTTTACATTTGTCATTTCGAGGCATTTTATAGCTAATTATGCGGTGTGGGTTTTGCTCATTGTTGAAGGCCTTACGGTGACCGACAACTATTAATTTCTATGTAATTTAGTCTCTGGTGGAGAGTATAGTCTTATTGGCAATCATACCGCATTTTTTATTCTTACATAAAAACATTTACTAAATTTTATCATCGGTATAAGGACATCAGTCGTAAATATAACTCAACATGCAGACATCTTATACGTTCGGGTATTTCACATCCAATCTTTTATGGTAATGTTCTTTACAAAGCACAAAAATGTCAGTATTCACCTCAAAAGCTAACAAAACCTTTAAACAGACTTATTAAGAAGGGATATAGTTACGATACTGTTGTCAGGTCATTAAAGATTGCATATTTTGGCTTAAATAATTATTCACTTATAGGGCCTTTGCATCGGAATTAACATATTTATTCTAAAACCAGTTGTTGGCCTGACACGGGTTATGTTCTTCTCATTTATTTCATGACGGTACAATACTAAACCCCTAACAGGAGGGATTGTGCCTGATATTCATATGATGAAGACATAATCTTTCAATCAGTTTAATTGAGGTCTGGAGCTGGTATGTCAGTAACTGCTAGTAGTCTGTTGTTATTTATGTATTATTGTCATTTCATTTATTTTCTTTTGTTTCCTATTCTGACATCGGACTCGGACTTCTCTTATACTGAGTTTTACTGTGTGTACTGTTGTGCGTTTGTTTTTTCTACATTGGCTAGAGGTATAGGGGGAGGGTTGAGATCTCAAAAAACATGTTTAACCCCGCCGCATTTTTGCGCCTGTCCCAAGTCAGGAGCCTCTGCCCTTTGTTAGTCTTGTATAATTTTTAATTTTAGTTTCCTGTGTATAATTTGGAGTTTAGTATGACGTCCATTATCACTGAACTAGTATACTTATTTGTTTAGGGGCCAGCTGAAGGACGCCTCCGGATGCAGGAGTTTCTCGCTGCATTGAAGACCCATTGGTGGCCTTCGGCTGTTGTCTGCTCTATGGTCGGGTTGTTGTCTCTTTGACACATTCCCTATTTCCATTCTCAATTTTATAAATAACATTGAAAACCTGGAGTTCTTGTAAATACATTAAATGTTTTCGTATACTTCAATTACAAGAAATAAAACCTTTTCTTTCCTGCTTTATTAATTTTTACATTATTTAAAGCAAATGGAGAAATCTAACACGGTTAGAATAGAATACGCCAATTTTTTTTATTGTAACGGATTGTTTTAATTTCACAAGTACATTTGGCAGATGCAGTTGATTTCCCATACTGCTGTAAAGAGAAGAGAACGTGACTTAGTAAATACATTTATCAGACGTGCACACTTGTATTGTGCAGCAAAAGATTTCGTTTTTATTTATAGAACAAGCGAGCGTGACTTTTAAATTCGATTTAAACATGTCAGAATTACGACGCTCATATTTATTTGTTTAACGAAGAATTTGTATTCGTTTAAAACTAATAAAGGTTAAACATATACTCAGTTTTGTTTAAAAACAGAACAAAATATCTAAAAAAAAATATACCATATGGATTTAAGTGTCTGTTTTTCAATTAAAGACTCCCCAAAACTAATAACAAACAAACAGCAATTGATTTCCATGCATTCACGACGTATTTCTGTAGTTCTGTAAACAATTTTTATATTGAAAAGCTGATAAAGAGAACAAAAAAAAACGATCATCAATTAATATTGATTTACTTTATAAATTCATTTTCTATGTGAAAGGTGCCTTTTGTTTTGTAAATTCCAATCAGCTGTTCACTTATTAGGTCCTGAATGTATATATTCATATTTAAAATTTCTTTATTATATCATATACCCTTACTATAAGTAACAATATTTTTAGGACGAATTGTCAATGTTTCCTCTGTTAGAGGTCGATTTCCATGGCCTGGATATTCAACCTACCATGTGTCTAAAGCAGGAATGGAAACAATGTCAGATTCTTTAAGATTGGAAATGGTGAAATTTGGTATTAAGGTTGCAATTGTTGAACCCGGTTGGTATCCATTAGCAACCGCATCGATGTCGATTGAAACGGTATGAGATTTATACATAACGAGATTTTGATCTTCAACTGACCTTTAATTTTTTTGTCCATCTTGTTGGTTGTATAACCTGACTAGCTGGCATGTCAGTTAACTGCTAGTAGTCTGTTGTTATTTATGTATTATTGTCATTTTGTTTATTTTCTTTGGTTACATCTTCTGACATCAGACTCGGACTTCTCTTGAACTGAATTTTAATGTGCGTATTGTTATGCGTTTACTTTTCTACATTGGCTAGAGGTATAGGGGGAGAGTTGAGATCTCATAAACATGTTTAACCCCGCCGCATTTTTGCGCCTGTCCCAAGTCAGGAGCCTCTAGCCTTTGTTAGTCTTGTATTATTTTTAATTTTAGTTTCTTGTGTACAATTTGGAGTTTAGTATGGCGTTCATTATCACTGAACTAGTATATATATTTGTTTAGGGGCCAGCTGAAGGACGCCTCCGGGTGCGGGAATTTCTCGCTGCATTGAAGACCTGTTGGTGACCTTCTGCTGTTGTCTGTTCTATGGTCGGGTTGTTGTCTCTTTGACACATTCCCCATTTCCATTCTCAATTTTATGACGTATTGAAATAGTTAAGTATGAACATGGTTAATATGTACTTATATGGAAAAAATGAAAATAATACTTTATAAATTTCATGCGTCCGAATCGCTTTTCTTGGTGTGTATCAACCTGGGTAATCACAATTAAAGCCGAGTCCCAAAGTTAAAAATATAAGTATTAGTATATAATTGTATGTGTGTCGATAGTTCCGAGTCCTAGTGGTGTGAATGCCAATGTATGTCGACAGTGTAAGAGTTGGTGCAGTTCATTTCCACCCTTGTCATCACCTTATAATAAAAATAACATGGATTTTAAAGCGCACAACATTTGGGCCGGACAAAACGTTTAGATTCTTGCATTTTTGTCTTGATAATTAAGAATCTGAACGTTATGAGCTTGAAAACCGAACAGAGCCTATAACACATACTATTTCGTTGGCAAGGCTGTGTATAGTTGTACTTTTACTACTTAATATTTATATCAACCAAAATCTTAAAATCAAAGTATCTTTTACACATGTTATTCAAGGGACACTTTGTCAGAGACATAACCCGAATAATTCAGTCCTTATAACCCAGTGCGATACGATGGCTATATTAGCGCCTTAAGCTCTAGTCAAAAGATGAATCGTCAATTCGAAATTGAAACGGAATTTATATGTTTAGTTTAGATTTAGGTACAACCTGATTAACTCTCTCGTCAACTCTCTCATCCACAGGTCAAGGATAAGTGACGCTTTTTCTTTTTATTGTATTAAGAGTTTAGGCTAGTGGGAAAAAAATCTATTAAGTCAAATAGCTCCAATATAATAGACTACTTTCATATTATCAAATTTTGACTCCGGAGTTTATATTTTTTTCGACAGGTTACCTGCTGTTTGGTAGGACATCCTGGTACTCGGTCTTGAAAGCAAGAGCAACGTAAAGAGAAAAATCAAGCTTTCAATCAGTACAATTTTTTGGGGAAATTAATTATTTGAAGTTTTCATTACTAGTATACGACAAAATGATCGGAAAACAGTAAGCTTCCCCCTCCCAATAACCCCCCCCCCCCCCCTAAAAAAAAAAGTTACAACATGATGCAATGCATTTTGCACTTAACAAAGAATAGCAATGACATATCATACAATTGTTTGACAAATCAAATAATTAATTTGACATAACACAGAGATGCAGTGTCAGGAAATAAAGGCACTTACACATAACATAAAGAAGAAATGACAGGACGTAAAGACAAATCGGCAAAACACTTTAAATATTTTCACTATAAGACAGTTACGGCGTTCCATATTTCACTTGATAATTTGTTAAGATCACATATCAGATAAACGAAAACTGTTCACAGCTGTCATAGCGCGGTAAATGGACTATTAGACCTTAGAATATTGCAAAGTACTCTCGACCAATGAAATTGTAGGATTGGATGCCTCTTATTTGTGAAGAATGAATGTAAATCATGTTCTTAGTAAGGGATTATCCTATTATTGGGTCTATTTACAGTTCAAAAGAAAGAGTTTCTATAAATGAGTTACAACTGCCCCAAAGCACATTTATCAGATTGAAAGGATTTATCACACAGTGATTGAAACTGACTAAAAGTTGAATTGTGAAACAAACAAAAATCTCAAAATAAGTTGAAGTTTACTGGTGCAGTAAAATTGGTACCATGAATGTTATTATAAAAATATTTATAACTTCAAATTACTATAAAATTAAACAATACAAAAGCAATGCAAAAAAATAGAAAGAAAAAAAAAAACTTTCAGATAAAAAATAACCTAAATCTTTAGCTTTCCAAAACTTTAATTACTTGATCAGCGGTTGTGGAAAATAGTTATTTCCAATACATGTATTCCGATAAAAAAAAAACAGAGGAGTTTAATTTTGAACATATTAAAAACTTTTAAGGACACTATTTTTGAACATTTCCCGGACATAATGAAACTGTATTTGATGTAAAAAGCCGGACCAAAATATTGGCTGTGAAATAAAATTTAGTTGTAACTCAAATGTATTTATTGGTTTAAACTGTAAATAAAAAAAAGGATAATTCCTCACTAAAATATTACATGATTTACATTCATACTCACAATCAGGAAACATACAATTCCTACCTTTTCTTTCTAACGTGTGTCACCTAATATCTATAACACATTTTTTTTTAAAATATTTCCCAAATGACAAGAAAGTCCTCACTTCACTAAAACTAATCTATAAATGACATGCCGAAAAAAGAAGTCATGCATTAATTATAAACATTGCACTGACAATGAAACTAATTCTTGAATAGATCATTTGAGCCTTGAGCACTTTACAATATTTTAAGTTTGTAAGAGAATGATAATCCCTTACTTCATGATAAGTACTCGCTAACGCTCGTACTTAATCATGAAGAAAGGGATTATCATTCTCTTACATATACTTTTCAACAACTCTCGACACCGACTAATGACACCTACAGTTTACAGGTAAAATGAAGGGGTCGTCTCAAAATTAAAAATCATTCTTGAATAGTATTACGCTTACACCTACACTATTTTGACGAAAGAACATATTTTAAACAAATATGAACTATATTTCTCTCCTTTGTATAATATTCTTTTTACATGTATTTATACGACATTTTACGTTGAATCTATTAAACCTTCGAGTAAATAATTACTGCAATCAATTCACATCTTAATCTGCCTTTTTTCTTTTTAAATTTAATGATTATGTGAGTATTTAGATAAGCGATGTTTCCTTAATGAACTTGAGACATTAACGACACCATTTTTTTTCTGCGCCACAATTGCGCATTTTTACAAATAATGTCTCTTAAGTGATGCGCATATGCGGATCCGGGGGTGGGGGTTGGTGGGCGGGAATGTCTGGGGCCCCCCTTTTTGTGGGAAAAATTTGGTTGATTATATTGGGAATCACTGAAGCATGACTCGATTGCCCCCCCCTCCTTTAGATCAGTCAGCGCCCCCCCCCCCCCTTCCCTTATGAAAAGTTCTGGATCCGCCACTGATGCGTATGGTATTTATATCTCAACAGTTATTTGTCTTTTTTGACAGTGCCGAACTGATTGATCGTTATAGGTTGTCCGTGTCTCGAAAGACAACATACCTTTTCCCTTTGTCGTAGATTGGGGACTTTAACCAAAATGCAGACTATGTGGTAACTCTGAATGTCTGTTTTTTTGTTGCATTGTGTGAATTTTTTTTCCCACTGTGGAAGTCATAAAAATAGCAATAAAAGGGAAAAAAAAGCTTACGATTTGAATCTTAATCTGAATCAGAAGTTACACCAAGGGCCTTTAAAAATCTTGGTATCTATTTTGCTATGAATTTATTGTACTCCGGCTGATTCTCGCGAATGAGGTTCATTTGTTGGCGCTATTTTGCTTTAAGTTTGCTTTGGTCGTACAACATTAGGGCGAGGCAATTCATCAACTTCTTCCTCTCTCTGGTCAACTACTTCATTTGGTTGCCGGGGAGCAGGTCCAGCGACGGCACAGTAAACCGGATTATTGAAAGAAAAAGCTCTAGTCAACAGATAATTAACATTGATTAACTAAACATCTACTACAAAACTACAGGTTTTTTTTTTTTTTCTTTTTTTTTTTTATTTTCAACTCGACGTCTAAAAGAAATGAAACATTGAAGTCCTTCCTTTTCTTCATAGTCAATTCACAAATAAGTTTAATTTTGATAAACAAACAAAATAAGGTACGGTACACAACAATTGCATATATACACGTCATGTTGGATAGTGGTCTCATTGGCAATCAAATTAATCATATGCGATCAATAATCTTTTTTTTCAATTTTATTTTTGAGACGATCCCTCATATTCTCCTATCATAGTCGTTCTCAACTGTAGGTGTAGACAATTGTTGAAAAGGTCTATTGGTCTATATACTATTCTGTGACAATAATAGTGTAATAATTATCTTAATATATGTTACTTTAAAAAAATCTAATAAAAATTGAGTTCTATTTCAGCAATTGAACTACACATTATTTAAATATCGAGAATATCTTGTCATTACAAAAACTTTTGTTTGATATTATTTCCGCTCCGATAATTTACATTGTCTTGGCCATATATTTGCCGCATATATGTTTAAAAGTGTAGTTTTCTTAACACCTTTATTTAGTGTGAAAGAGTGAAAAATGACTGTGAAGAACAATGGAAAGAAGCAAGTGAAGAACTTAAACGGTTGTATGGACGAAAATACTTCTTTGCATGGTATGACGAAATGTTGGTGAATAGAAAAGACACACGTGCGGCTTCTTCATCTAAACCTGTAATTGACGCTATGGTAGACGCTCTACGAAACGTTCATCCTAAAAATAGATATCTGGTTGATGGTGGACAGGGAATCAACATCGATACTCGTGCCGTAGGTCTTAATTAGTATATCGTTCTATGCGACTGTCATACAAGTGAGAGGTTTAGCTAGCTATAAAATCAGGTTTAATCCACCACTTTTTACATAAGGAAATGTCTGTACCACGTCAGGAATATGACAACTGTTTTTCATTCGTTTGATGTGTTTGAGCTTTTGATTTTGCCATTTGATAAGGGCCTTTCTGTTTTTAATTCTCCTTGAAGTTCGATATTTTTGTTATTTTACTTTTTTTCACACCTAAATTGAGATTTAAGAAATTGATCGATTGTTGATAGGTTACTTTTGTCCACTGGGTAATATAATGCAAGAATATTTACAACGAGAACAAAGTGAACAATTAGATGAAATATTCAATTCTGAAAGGGACTTGACCTTATGAACAAGTTGAATAATTGATTCACACTTAACTATAAATGTCTATCAGGCAGGCTAAATATTTCCCCTACTTGAAGCAAATCCTGTCGGCAAAAGATACCACGTAATGGATTCCTGACTAAACGGTAACGCACTGACCCAATATATTGAGTTTGGCATCGCTTTCATGAAAGCACAAGGAAAGTAAAAAGATGCATATTTCCTTGATACATAATTTAAGATGGTTTAGTATGCTCAGTCACATCATATGTGCTGAAAAGGAAACACATACCAGCAAATACGTCCACATTACACAACTGTCCCAAGATAAGGGGAGGGTTGGCGCACCCGCAAACATTTTTTCATCGCCACATTCTGTACGTGCATGTCCCACGTCAGGAGCCTGTTATTAAATGGTTGTCGTTTATTGCTGTTTATCTTATTTGTTTTTCACATAAATCAGGTCGTTAATTTTCTCGTTTGAATTGTTTTTTTTTTTGTCATCATTTCGGAACATTTTAATAGATGCGGTATATGTTTTATCATTGTTGAAGGCCGTACGCCAACCTTCTACGTCATGTCGTTTCTGGTGGAGAGTTGGCAATCATACCACTTATTTTTATTCAAGCATTATTTTTACTTAATATGTTTTAGTATTTTTTTTTTGATAATTCAATGTCCGTTTTTTAATTTTAGAGATTAGCTGCATGTTACAACTTTTTACCAGACTATGTTAGTGATCCATATCTGATGTGGACAAGTGGATATAAATTCAAACAACTAGGAGAATAGAACTTTTTGCATCTAGATATTTCATATAAATTTTAATGGAAGGAAATACATACTTGCTATTCTTGACAATGTTGACATACTGAGTTGAATTGTATGCTGACTGAATAAGATTAACCATCCATTTTATAAAGCAGTGAAACAAATGTTTATTTATAAAAAGCAAATATCATAGTTAACCTCCAAATTCGTTTTTTAGGAATTACCTTTTTAACAGACGTAGTTCTTAAAAATCTGACCTATTTGTTATCACTTACGTTTTGTAATCCTTTAACATAACCTCCAAGGGTGACTAGGGAATGGACATATGGTCAATCTTAGTCTTCTCCCTACCTGCAGTAAAACCCTTGCCAAAATCGGGCGTCTCTTTAGCTGACACGACATAGCTAGAAAAGAAAAAGACCAACAGACAAACAACAGTACACAAAACACAACATATAACACTAAAGAATGAGCAACACGAACCACACAAAAAAACTGGGGCTGATCTCAGGTGCTCCGTATGGGTAAGCAGATCCTGCTCCACATGTGGCACCCGTCGTGTTGCTCATGTTAGTACAAACCCGGTAATAAGTATAATTCGGTGGGTAACATTCGGGGAACAGGAGAATGGATTTCAGTTATGACAAATGGAACATATGCGCTGTCATCTGTGAAACGGATATTCCATAACGGTAAACCAACACGTGATGATATCTTGAATTTTGCCTACTAATTACGAATTTTAAATCATTATTACAAATTGCACGTCTTGCATATCTGACACTCGTATTAATTTGTAAATTCTCGCGAGATTTTGGTTCGGCAACTATGTGTACAAAAAAGCTTGTTTTTTCCTAAAAAAAAAAGACGCAGATTGACGGACGAAATTACGAAAAACCCGAAAGACATGAAAGAAGAAACTGAAAATTAAAAAAAAAAACAAAACCCACACACATTTAAGCGAGTTAGTTATCACGAGGTGTTAGAAAATACAAACACAAAACATATGAGAACCAATGCTCTTTTTATGTATTAACTGGTCAAATATGATGTTTTTAAATTATCTGCACTTAAATTTTATACGAAAATTAAAGTAACGGAGTAAAGCTGTTTTCGTGTTGCGGTACTTATATATCATTCATTGGCTTTAAACTGTTTGGCTGTGAGGGTTCCCGATAAATGTTATTTAAAAGGAGGCTAGTAGTAGAAAAGAAAACGGCTGAATTGTGGCTAAAGTTGGTTCATATCAGTGGTCCTTTGTGATACAGATTTCCATAACAGTCAACCAAATCGTGATGTATGGAACGCCATAGCTGTCTTATGTGTCTTTTTTATTATACGAAGGTGCTTTTCTTTTATACGAAGGTGCTTTTCTATTATACGAAGGTGTTTTTCTATTATACGATGGTGGTTTTCTATTATACGAAGGTGCTTTTCTATTATACGAAGGTGCTTTTCTATTATGCGATGGTGGTTTTCTATTATACGATGGTGGTTTTCTATTATACGAAGGTGGTCTTCTATTATACGAAGGTGGTTTTCTATTATACGAAGGTGGTTTTCTATCATACGAAGGTGGTTTTCTATTATACGGAGGTGGTTTTTTTATTATGTGATGGTGGTTCCCGTGATTAACCGGAAGTGTGGCGTGTCACATGATTTGAAAACAGGGACGGGTCAATTGCTAATAAGATATGGAAAAAATCTTAAATCAAGAAAATCAATTCGGGTTGCCCGGATTGGGACGGGATATATTGACCGGATGAGATATAAATAGTCAGAACTTGTTTGTTATTTGATAGATTATTTCAATATTTGAAGACCTCAGAGATACATAACTATATTTTATGAAAATCTAACAAAAAAAGTTAAAAAATATTTTTAAGCAAAAATAGTTGAAATGAACGACAAAAAGTGTTATTATAGCTATTGTTAACAATATTTTTTAATGAAACTAAAACTTTATAGAAAAAAAATGTTTTTCAACAAAAAATAATGACCGGACGGATTTCGCCACGATAAATAATGAGCTGATCGACATAAGTGTAAAACATTTCTTATATCTAATAATATTTTGAAATTAATAAATCTTTATGAGGAATAATTGTTAAAATGATATTTTATGAAAATATTAACTGAATTGTTAAAACTGATTATATAAGTTAATTCAATTATTAAAGGTATTTGATCTCTTGTGTGAAAACTCAAATGACATGTTATTTGGCTTGATTGGTGATAACGACAAGTGTCAAAATTAGATAATTTAGCTAAATGTTCTTGGTCTAATATGTAAAATGTTTATCACTTATTCAAACATGTTCAAGCGGTGCTTTGCTTTTGCGCCAATTGGCATTTCATTTGCGCCAAAAAATCTTTCATTTGCGCCACAAACTATATTTCATTTGCGCCAAAAAAAAACAACATTTCATTAGCGCCAATGATACAGGAAAATTCAGGTAAATAGTATAAAAAAATAGTTTCATTCAAAAGAGACTTTTAGCAATAATTCTAAAACATAGTTCTTGATTGCATAATAAAATATATATATATTCCACCGAAATCAGTCATCGTAACCATAATGAAAGTACTATATATTCATACATTGTTGATCAGAGACTTTTCTTAATAATGTGTAAACACAGTTCTGTTCTAAATTAACCAGAACATAAACACTGAAAAATGGACTATACACTGGAGTAAAACCAAACGTTTGTTCTGGCACGAAGACTTGTAAGCAACGGCTCGGATGTACTTTTTTTACACTGGATAACCTATATGTGTGGTCATAACAATAACAGATTTCTTTCCTCTATTTACAAATAAGGAGGGCATGCCATTAAGGAGATGGTGTATGCCCATTGGCTATGAAATAACTATCCCAAAAGTTCATAAGACGTGGACGAAAGCCACCAGACAACCGTACAGCCTTCAAAAACCTATTCCGTATAGTCGGCTATCAAAGACACTAACAGGAAAAATATGAAACAATCGAATTCTGAGTAAACTAACGGAAACTTAACCAGAATTTACCCTCTTAACACCTCATACATGTGGACACTATTATATAATATAAAACCTTAGTTACTCGCTGTTTTATATTAAACAATAAGTATGAACTTTTTTGAATTAGTTACACAGGGAGGAATACTTAAAGAAACTCATCTTATTCACAATGTGGCAATGAATATTTCAAATTTCTTTGTTATATGCTACCTGTAAAATGGCGCAAATGTAGGGATTATTTTTGGCGCAAATGCAATATAACCTTGTGGCGCAAATGAAAGATTGGATTTTGTCAAAATTGGCGCAAATGCAAACTTTGTTATTAAAACTTTGTTGTTTGTTAAATGAAAACAGGAAACTACGGTCACAATTGATAAAGTAGATTATATGGTACTATTTGTTTAATATGTGTCTTTGTTTGTTATTATTTTGCTTTCTGTTTTCATTTATATTATGTCGCTAACTATATTATATATGTTGTTGATGCTATAGCATTATTTTATAATATGCTGATTTGCAATAAACTTATTACAATTACAATTTAATATCTTTTCTTCTAAATTGTGCCAGTGAACTCAATCAGGTCAACATTTTGGGATCAAAGCTATAATTTTTAACGGAAAGAACTTATTTTTTCATACAATTTATAAGTTTATTTCAAATGTATCTCAATTTAAAAAAAAGATGTTTTGAAAATTTTAGAAATTTTGAACACTTTCTGTCGATCATGCCATTATAATTCGTCGCATAATTCGCGCAGGTAAAATCCGTCCGGTCAACTTTTCTTGTAAAGAAACAATTTTTTACTTTAAAGTAATTTTTTTTTGTATAATTTATTCATTTGTCTCCCAGATTCTTTTTTTTCATGAAATTATAACTGTTAAACAAACGAGATAGTAACAATTTTTGTCGATCAGTTCAAAACATTAAACACGTTTTTTCGGCGATTTTGAAAACTGTCGGGTCAACTTTTTTTTGTCAAAAACATTTTTTGTTACTATAAAGTTTACATTTTCATATATAATATATTGATTAATATCGCATAACAGATTTCTTAGTCGTATCTAAAAATGTTGTAAAACAAAAACTTTTTTTGTTAGATTTTCATAAAATTTAGTTATGTATCGCTAAGGTCTTTATATATTGAAATAATCTATCAAATAACAAAAAAGTTAAGACTATTTATATCTCATCCGGTCAATATATATCCTGTCCTAATCCGGGCAATCGTCCTGTCGTTAGTGCAATCCGGATATATCGCCGAAAACAATGCAGGGTCAGCGGGTGGAATTCCGATATTTTGATAAATTCACTTATCAATTATAATTAATTGATTGTTTTATTTCAAACATAATAATCCATAAAAACTTTTAAAGACTTAATTGATTTTCTTGATTTAAGATTTTTCCCATATTCTATTACCAATTGACCCGTCCCTGTTTTCAAATCATGTGGCACGCCACACTTCCGGTTAATCACGGGAACCACCATCACATAATAAAAAACCACCTTCGTATAATAGAAAACCACCATCGTATAATAGAAAACCACCTTTGTATAATAGAAAACCACCATCGTATAATAGAAAACCACCATCGTATAATAGAAAACCACCTTCGTTTAATAGAAAACCACCATCGTATAATAGAAAACCACCATCGTATAATAGAAAAGCACCTTCGTATAATAGAAAAGCACCTTCGTATAATAGAAAAGCACCTTCGTATAAAAAAAGACACATAAGACAGCTATGGCGTTCCATATAAGACAGCTATGGCGTTCCATAGTGATGGCTTACGTAAACCTTTCGGGAGGATGACTCCAACTTTACCGCTTGGTAACCTTGATTCAATTTGTAAGTACCTATCCTCTTACTTTTTATACAGTGCTTTTGGAGTGTTATTACATTGTAAAGAAACATTCACTGTTGGAAATTTGAAATCATCTTTATGACGTAAAGTTTTGTTTCTATAAGAAAATTACTGTCACTTTTCTAGATGTACGTAAGTCAAAATATAAGTCAGAAACTTGACTGTATCTGTTTTACTATTTATTTCATATACGTTTGGAATGGATATATGCAATATAGTCACTATAAACCTTTATCGATAAAACGGAACGTAAAGTTAAAGGAATATGCTAGCGTGTTTTTATTCTTCATGACAAGCTTCTG